CCTTCTACTTGGAAAGCTTCGGCGTTGCATCGGCGCCCCCCAAGGCAAAGCTCGGCGACGTTGTCGTGGGCAATGCAATCGCTGCGGGGCAGATCTGCCGCGCAGACGAATCCTAGGGATACAGGCAGGATGAACATAATCATCGTCATCATCATCATCATCAGCAGCGACAGAAGCATCATCATCAGCATCAGCATCAGCTTTCAGCACCAGCGCACTGCAGCACCAGCGCGGTCATCGTCGTCGCTGTCATCACCCTCGTCATCAGCGCCACCCCCCCACAGGGCTTGTGGCCCCAAGGGGAGCTCCACTGAAGGTCCCTGCAGCAGGGTTCACGTGTGCCCCCAGGTCCATGTCCGCTCACCTCTGATATGCTTCGTGGTCCCACAGGGGAGCTCCACCGAAGGCCCCAGAGGCAGGGGTCGCGTGCGCCCCCAAGCCTATGCCGGCACACCCCTCACACGCTTCGTGGCCCCCGGCGAGCTCCACCGGAACCTCCAGTGGCAGGGTTCACTTGCGTCCCAAGGCCCGTTTCGGCTTGTCCCTCACGCGGCGCGTGGCCCCCATGGGCAGCGCCGCCGAAAGCAGCAGTGGCAGGGTTCGTGTCTCCTTGGCGATTTTTGTTTTTCCCTCGCACGTTTCTCGACCCCATAATCGAGGACGCCGGCGGCGCATCACCGGCCGCTCCCCGGGAGTTCGCCGAAGTGGTGCGCAGCATCGAAAGTCGTGACGCGGCGCGTATGCCAGCTATCACATCGCCGTCGGCCCATCCCGCGACCGCGCTTGGGTTTTGGGTCGGAGTCCTCATGGACGGGTCTCTCGAGAGGGCTCTCGGGGGCCTCTGCGGGGGAGTTTAGGGGCCTCTTGGGGGTCTCCTGGGGGCTTCTTGGGAGTCTCTTGGGGCCCTCTTGGGGGCCTCTTGGGGCATCTTGGGAGCCCCCTGGGGGCCTCTTAGGTCCTCCTGGGGGCTTCTTGGGACCGAAAGCTCGAAATGCCCGTTCGGGTTCCTCGTCTGGGCCACCTCTTGGGGCCGTCCTGGGCCCTCTTGGGCCGTCCCAGGGGCCTCTTGGGCAGTCTTGGTGCCCTCCTGGGCCGTCTTGGAGCCCCCTTGGGTGCTTCTTGGGCTGTCTTGGGGCGATCTTTGGGGCCTTTGGGGGCGCTCTGGAGCGTCGGGAAGCCAAAATGGCGACAACGCCAATCCTTCAAAAACCATAGAAAGATCAATGCATTTTGCTTCTTGGGACCCTCTTGGGGGTGCTCTTGGAGGCCTCTTGGGGCGTCTTGGAGGCGTTTTGGGAAGTCTGGGGGCCATCTTGGGCGTCTTGGAGCGATCTGGAACAGTCTGGAGGGTCTCTTGGACCGTCTTCGGGTCGTCCCCGGGCCGTTCCAAACGTTGAGGGGGTTGAGGCCGGGGGGCGGGGCCGGCGGCAGAGCGGGGCCCCCTCGGAGGGACTTTCAGGAGGTTTTTGACCAGGCACTGGCGAAGGGGATCAAACATTGCGCCAAACACTCTGTCAGAGAGGTCTCGCACGGCCCACGCCGCAGGCCGGGGGCGCAGCATCGAAAGTCGTGACGCGTCGCGTATGCCAGCTATCAAATTGCCGTCGGCCCATCCCGCCACTGTGCTTGGGTTTTGGGTCGGACGGAGTCCTCATGGACGCTTCCTGGGGTCTCGAGAGGGCTCTAGGAGGCCTCTGCGGGAGAGTTTAGGGGCCTCTTGGGGGCCATCCTGGAAGCTTTCTGGGAGCCTCTCCGAGCTCTCTTGGGGCTTCTTGGGGCTCTCTTGGGGCTTGT